TCGTGATGGCGGGTGACATAGCGAGGTCGCTTGGTGGCATGGGCAACGGAAGCATCGTTAACTCTTTAACTGCCTTATCTCAACAAAACTTCGAAAAAACTTCGATCGAAGTTATGGAGGACTTGCGAGAAGGACAGTTCTCAGAAACAGGACTCACGAGAAGGATTTTCTGGGCGTTTGGAGGTCGCGGCGTGGTGGCTGGTACGCTCGCATGCGGCGACTTCCGCCCACGACTTACCAAGCTTATCATGAGCAACATGCCCCCAGCGCAGTCGCTCACCTTGTCATGAGCGATTCAAGCCCGTGACATCGGCGACACTTGAGCTTGGACTCGCACCGACCACAGACACAGCCGCACGTAGCCTACCCATGCCGCCGCCCTTGGGACCATTCTGCCTCGAAGTTCGTACACCCTGGCGACACAACACATCACCGAGCGAACAGCGTGTGGATGGGGGCGGCCATCATATGCTACCTCCGGCACTTGTTGGGCCTTTGCAAATTCGACTGGGGCGCCTAGCAACGCCATGGCATGGTCAATGAGATTGACTTTGGTGTGCAGTTGGAGCGCCCTTCACGAAAGCCACGAGAGCATGCCAACCATGTCCTGTGACAGGCCCTCGGCTGTAACATGTGAACGGCATGTACGATATTAAATTTCACAGGTTCCTCGCATGTCGCTCTGCGAAACTTGTGCACGAACACCGCCGGGCGATGCGGACGTCGGCAACGACCTACTCGAACGGGACGGCGTCGTCCGCGACCGAGTTCAGCGTCCAGACGTTGCTCCATGCAGGCCTCGATGAGAATGTGTCGGTGCCCCTACAGCTCGCGTTTATCTTGGCTGTGACGTTGTTTGTCCTCGGGTTTCAGTTCATCCTCGAGTCCGTGGAAGCTGTCATTGAGCGGCATCCGACGTACTGGACGCTTCTCAACAAGATGTACCGCGAAGTCCTCATGGGGGGTCTCACCGAGTTCGTGTCGCGGCGTATTGATCAATGGGACGTGCTGTCCCAGTACAGCCAAGCCAAGCTGAACCTGAGCGACTCGATGGTGCTGTACTTTTCGCTGTCGATCGCAATTCAATCGGCACTCATGTTTATGATGCTACGTCGGCGCAACCGCAAGGTGGACGCGCTGTCGGTGCTCGGGGCCCGGGACCTCCTCGAGTACATGAACGCGGACCCTGTTCGGGCAGCGTCGAGGCTGTCGCAGTCGGCGATCAAGACCAAAATCCTCCAACACTTCTTCCTGACCACGTTTGGCCTACCCGATTTATTTTCGTTCCCCAAGTACCTCCGGTCGATCCAGGACACGGAGATCTTTTCGCTCTTTGACATTGAAATCATCGAGTGGCTGCTCCTCGTCGCCGTGTACACGTTTTTCTTTTGGATGGCCGACTTTTTCGAAGTCACGCGGTTCATTCCGGAAACCGCGACGGACGTGACGATCGAGGCCGGCGTCGGGCTCGCCAACGCCGAGCGCATTCAGGCTAGCCGCGTCGTGATCCTGCTCTTCTTTGTGCTGGTGCTGTCGTTGTCGCTGCTTTCGCTCTACTACTTCATTCGCCACCGCGTGCACCAGATCGTGGTCCACGCGGGAGGTCACCGCGAGTCGTACGTGGAAGCACTGACAGAGATCGCCGCGATCGAAGACATTCGCCTCGCGACGCCCATCTCGAACAATCAAGCGATTGCCATGATGGCGACGCTCGCGGAATCCCTCTCGGACGTCGAAGATCACTCGAGCATTTGGGACTTGATCATGTCTGGCCTTCGGTACGTCGCGGGCCGGTCGCACCAAGCCAAAGCGAACGCGTTGCCGAGTCGAGATCTCCACCTCCGCTTCTTCAGCCGAAAAGCAATTCACGTGTTTGCCAAGATCCTGCTCTCGTTCAACGCCATGTACTTTGCCTTGATCTGGGCGACATTCAATGCCAGCATCGGTCCGGTCATTTCGTCCGGCTATGCCGTGTGGTACCCTCCCGCGCTGGTCGGGATCATGGCCGTCCTCGTGTTCAACATGATGTTCTTCGCACCGCGCCTCGTGCGCCAACTCGCCCTCGTCAACGCGACTGTCCGCATCAACCCGAACGAGCTCAAGGCCGTGATCGAACACTACTCGGACGTGTTGGAAATGCAGGGCAAGATGGCCGAGGCGATTGCGGCATTCTGCGACGCCAACCTCAAAGACATGTCAGATTTTGAAGCGGACGTCATGGCGCTTGACGCCGACCAGACCCAAGTTGTCGAAGTCGAAGCGCTGCGCAGTCTCATCAAGCGGTACGGGTTCCGCTTTTCCAAAAACAAGTTTCAAACGTTCGTGCGGCTGCAATTCCACACTCGGGGCACAAAAGTCCCATACGTGGAGTTTACGACGCTCCTTGCGAGCTTGCTGCGGCAAATCCAGCGCGACGATGTGGAGCGTGGCAGCAGCGACGACGACGACGTGATGCATCCCGATTTGCACCACTCAAATCAACTGCATGACGAGGCTGTGGACAATGCCGCCATCGCGGCCACGGCCTCGCTCCATGAAGCCATCGGCTTGTCGACCAAGAAGCGAGACATGCCCCTTCGGCAAGCCAGCAGCGGTAGCTTTCGACGGCCGACACCGCTGCTCCTTCACACTCTCTCGGCTTACCAGCGCGTGAACGCCGAGGACGACGCGACCGAAGAAGCGGCGGCATATGCATCCATCCACACCCCCGGTCGGGCTGCACCTACCGCGGCACCGACGTCATCCAACGGTCCATCGTCCACACCGCCGCATTAAGGCAAATCATGAAAACAAGTAATCGACGAATTTTCGCATTGGGGACGTATGGAATGAGCAAGGAATACTCGCGCGAGACTGATCGGGACGCATAAGCTGCGCGTGTCATGGCTTGACTAATTCGAGGAAGCCCATGCATGCATGTGCAATGCGGTTGGAACGTGGCTGTGGGCCAGACCAACGGCAGGTTGACTCTGGTCCAGCTAGCTTGGATATCAGTAAAAGCTAGCTGAACTAGAATCAGCCTGCCGTCAACAAGAGTACTGCCTGCAACACACGAGTCAGCAACATTGTGTTTTCAGTGCCTCAAAACCGTTGCAAGACTGCCAATGCCGATGGATGAGACTAGTTCTGGGCTTTCACGTGCGTCTGCCCACCACGCAACAGGGTCGATGGAGGGAACTCCTTGGAATTGCAGCATCATGAACCCCGGACGCACTCGTTTTTGAAGTCAAGGAAGAGCTGGTCCACGTCAAGCGATGATAAGCACAAGCGCAGTCCGCTTGCCGAGACGACCCCAACCATCGCCATCAGTGTCAACGGCCGCTGGCAATTAGAAGCTAAGTGATGTTATCCGGATGGATCCGGATATGATGTCGTTTCATTCGAGATTTTGAAACGTCCGAGTTGGCGGCGGTGTGAACATGCACGACGTACGGTTCCTGGTGGCGGCTCTGGCCGCTGTCACGGCGGCGGCCACATCTCCCTGGGCTCCAGTTGGTCCAGCTCCGAAGGGAGCCATGGTGACCCTTCGTTTCGCGCTTCGAGCTGCGACACCTTCGGCGCTTGATGACGCATTGGCCTCGGTCGCCGATTTCCACTCGCCAGCGTATGGTCAGTTTCTCACGGATGTTTCAGCGCTTGTGCATCCCAGCGCAGCTGCGATCGAGTCCGTCGAGGCGTTGTTCCACGCACATAACGTTTCCCGGAGCGCTCACGGCGATTACGTCCGTGTGGCGTTGCCCGTGGCTGCCGCAGAGGCACTGCTCCAAACGGAACTCTTCGAATATGCACATCAAACCGCTCACGACCGCCGCATCATTCGACCTCGAGAATCGTACACGCTTCCACCCGACGTCAACGATCACGTCCTACTCGTGGACGGCCTGGACGCGTTCCCAACGCTGTTTCAAGCCCAGTGGCGTGCTACGTCAACAGGAGCAGACGAAGCCTCGTCTACGTCCGTGGCTGCCATCCAACGCGCGTACGATTTGCCGTCTGGCTTGGATGCGTCGGATCCACGCAATGCGATCATTATCGGCGCGTTTCTCAAAGAGACGTTCAACGAGCGCGATGTCGAAAAGTATGTGACGAGCAATCAAGTCGTCGGGACGGACTCAAAGCCACGAGTGTTTCATGGGCCGCAGCCCGTGCACTGCATCGGAGATGGTAAGGGTGTTGGAACAGGTGAAGCATCGCTCGACACGCAGCTCGTGGCTGCTCTGACCCAGAGCCAGCAAGCTTCGGTTCTGTGCTACAATGGGCACCGCCTTGACGACCAAGCTTTCGACGATAGCAATCAAGAGGTGGGTTGAAAGTCTTAAATCAAGGCTGTCCAGGCAATCGATGTGGATGGATGGGCCCATCTAGCTCTGCATGGCGTCTTTGCCCACTCAGGATACGTGTGAACTGAGGTTTCCGTCGTCTGTAGCCCTTCCTATTGTTCATGCAAGATGTCAATGCCATAGAGCCTCCGCCCGCGGTCGTGTCCATCAGGTATGCTTTCGCTCCACTTGGCAGCGCGCATCGAACGTCCATTTTTTTTCACCTGCTACCCTTCCTTGTAGCTATGCCGACGACGAATGCGCTTTGCCGCCAGCGTACATGGCAGCGGTAGATGCCGAATTCAAGAAAGCGGGAGTTCGAGGGACAACAATCGTCGTGTCCAGTGGAGACAACGGCGTTGTCGGAAGCAGTTTGCTCGGCTTTTGCGGCATGCCAACGTGCAGTCGATTCCAGGTCCACCCACCAGTTGTCTCATACGATGTTCGATTCAACACACGGACGTAGCCACAATACCCCGCGTCGTCGCCGTACGTGCTATCCGTTGGGGCGACAAAATTGCTTTCGTCCGGGGAGGTGGCGCTTTCGACGGAAAATGGAGGCGCAATCACGACGGGGTCTGGCTTCAGTAGCTACATTAGCCGGTCAGCTGCGCCATCCTTTCAAGTAAGGGATGCCCTCCATTTGTTCACCCGATGGACCTTGCGTGCTGTGGCGCGTTCCTCATCCATTTCGACTTGTAGGACAATTTGGTCGACGCTGCACTATCCCATCTATCTCCTGACGCTCTTGGCAAGATCAACCCAGCTGGACGTGCATACCCCGACGGTATCCGCATTTCTTCACTTGAATCGTCTCGACCAGCGCTATTGATATGCGTTTGCTGCAGTCGTGGCGGTGGGGCACAACGTCGGCGTGTACGTGAATGGCGGTATTCAGCAAACGGACGGGACGTCAGTGTCGGCGCCGGTGGTGGCGTCGCTCCTGGCGCATGTGAACAAGTGGCGCTTGGACCATGGCAAAGCGCCACTCGGCTACGTGGTCCCGTACTTGTACAAGGTACCTCTCCACGACATGTCGAAATGGGCAGCATGGCACTCAGTCAAGGACGATGACGGGTGGACGAAATACGACGACTAACATGGAGTCGGTGGCGGTAGCTGTACTCAGTATGCCCGGAAGTGTTCAACGATATCACATCTGGAGTGAACAAGTGCGGCGGACTTGGCCAAAGCTGCTGCGCCGACGGACTCCACGCTGATGTGGGCTACGACTTGCTCACAGGTGGGATCGTAATGAAGATCACGTGGAATCTCTCAACGTTGCTGGCATGGTCCAGGCCTGGGGGCACTGCAATATAGAGTGTGGGTCTCCAAAATGGACGCATGCGAAGCAAAGATGAAATCAGCAATGAATTTGGCAGCCGAGTCTTCAAGGTGAAAACATGTTTTTGTCGTGAGTACACATCCTCACATGACGTTGACATGCAGTGAGGATCGGCAAGACGTCATGTCCAGCAGTGCTATGGTGGCAGTCGCGGCCAGCGCAGGGATCATTGCCGTGGTTGCTGGTGTCGTTGCAGTCGGTCGTCGCCATGGTTCCCAATCGCCTTGTGACGCATCCCATTACGTGTTTATTCGTTAATGGCTTCTAGCCAATTCTTCACTTGGTTGGCACATCGGACTCCATCTAGAAAACAAAATGCTTACATGATGAGTCGTCAACATTCTCGAACGCTCACCGGTCGCGTCGTGGAGCTCCAGCCACGACGAATACAATAGGGTATCTGTCGACGCGCGCTCCGTTGGCTACAATCCACCAAGCTGTGAAACAAATGGCGAAGGCGGCACGAGCGCCATGGAGGTCGGCGATAGATCAGCGTGCAGAGCAAGGGCCTTACGTCCTTGCGAAGGCAATCGTTGAGGAAATCTTGAAACTCGGTGGAAAATGCATCCGTGGGCAACGCTGGTGGCGGCGACTCGAGAATGCTCTGTACGACCTACTCACCACACGCAACGACACACGGTGTGGAATCATGCTCCAGGCCACGTACATCGATGTAGCTACCGCATTCGCCGTACGGGTACGCGGCTAAAGCACACTCTAACAGTACAAGCCCGACACCCCAAATGTCGGACGAGAAGCTGCGTCCGCGACTGGAATGAGCTTCTTTACGCCGTCTTTGGACACGACGTACTCGTACGGCTCGTTCTGGACTCGCTCTGGCGACATGTACTTGAATGTGCCGACAAATGTCTGCGCCATATCGAATGTCCCGGTCAACTCCCGCGCGAGACCTACGGCTGTCACTCCAGAAAAGGCCAGGCGGGACGAAGGCACCGAAGTCAGTGAGCTTGACGTAGCCATCGCTCGTGACGAGAATATTCTGTGGCTTAATGTCCTACAGGGGTATGAACAACGAATGATCATGTCGACAACAGAGTTCGCTGGATGTACGCGGTGAAAATGTCGAGCTTCTTTGAGATGCTGCAGGCCACTGAGGATCTGGTACGTCATGTGGGCCAAGATCCGCTCGGGGATAGCGCCGTGCTGCACCAGGAACGATGAGGTATTTGATAGAGTTCGTGGAATGGCGGAAGCGGCGATGGCTGGATGGTGACCTACCTGGCGCACCAACGCATCAAGGGACCCACGATCACAATACTGCAAGATTAAGCTGAGCGCGTGGTCTTTGAAGAACGCGCCGTAAAAGTCGACGAGCCTACATCATGTTGGGATGCATTCGGTCGCAAGTTGTGAACACAAGTGCATGAAAAGATTGGACCATGGCGTAGCGACGCTGTATAAGGTTTGAATCTCCGTGAGAATTTGCCGCCGCTGTGCGCGATCGTAGACGTTGTGCACCGTCTACTCGAGATCATGAACTTTGCTGAGCCAAGCGGACATTGTACACCTTAATGGCGTACAGGGTGTTCGTGGACCGATCGATTGCTTTGAGGACAGTACCGCTGCATCCTCGACCAAGAAGCCCCAGCGTCTCCAGGTTGTCAATGTCGACAGAGCACTGGGCATGTTGAGTTGAATAAGGTGTGATCATGCTGCGGAACGTACTTGAGCAGTGGAGGCCTCCACTGACGATTTTCGTGTAGATTCTGGTCGACTGCGAACACCGTTGCTGTACAATGGGGGTCAAGGAAATGGGACCACCCTGAGGCATTGTGAGCACGATTGCAGGGTCAAAAGGATATCGTGATGGCAAGGCGGCCTTTGCGAAACGTCGTGTCACCAATATCACAGGACATTTCAAGGACGTTCGTTTCCTCCTGGTCCGTTGATCGTTCCTCTTTCCCCTCGTCGTGTTTCGAGCATCCGTCATCCAACTCTAGGGTCGGCGGCGGCACGCGGCGCCCGCGGAACGACATGATTTTGTGAAACGGCTGATACTTCAAATAGCAAATATTTCAGAAATTCAAAAATCTTCCGATAATGTTCCTGAGCAAATATTTTTATTGGCATGTCATTCTGCCGTGCCAACCACCAACGGCGCCTTCGCAAGGGAAGACAGAACACAACGCCATTGGGGGGCTGAAGAAGCTGTCCCTTCACGCACCATGATGACTATTGCCCCAAGAATACAGCTCGAAGACGTGCATTTCGATCATAGTCTGGTGCGGTCATGCCTACTCGAACCGCAGTGTTGCCTCAGACCCGAGCGATTCAAACCGGATTTTACCAACGCCCACGAATTATTTTTTGCAAAAATATTGAAAAATATCTCTCGGTGTAAAATTATCCTGTACGACTGCCATGCACTCCGTCGGTTTGTTTACAGCCAGCAGAATGCGCCGGAGGCACCCGTCGTCGTGACGATTCACCAGGAGCGTCATGGTCTATGGGGAGCTAGCTACCTTGTGACCAAGATGCTTGCATGCCTCGTTTGTTTTGCTCGTTTGCTCCATGTGACAGGTGACCGTGACCACGTAAAGTTGTACCTCTCGGGTCCTCAGGTGGGAGCTCGAGAAATCACCGTGTTCTGTGGCTCGTCCGGCCGTGACTTCGCCACCTACCTGCTTATCGATTCGTCGTCGCCCCTTCTACAATCAGCTCACGAACCTTATGCAGACCATTTTACTGAGAAGAGAGGCAGCGCCATGGTGTAGATGGTCGTGGTTGCATGTAGTGGCGGTGTCGTCGTCGTCGGCGTTGGTTGTTTTGGTGACTGCCATCTTACGGTTACATGTGAAGAATTGGAAAGAATTTTATTATCATACAAATTTCAAATCCAAGCGATGAAATCATTGGAAGGGACAAAATAATACAGTGTGACTTGAGAACACTTTCGTCGAGATGGGGAGCAAGTCGAGCAAGCTCTCGACGAAGCGCGGACCCGAGGCCTCTGGCAAGAAGAATGAAGCGTCTCCACCAGCCATCACACCAAAGAAGGGTGCATCGACACCCAGGACTCTCAAGCAAGCGGAGCAAGAACCAACGCAAGCAGACGAGGAACCTCCGTCTCGACTGAGCGAGTCGACAGAGAGCGTCACAGATGATGAGCGGTTCTCGTCGACGCAGTGGAAGGTACAATTAGACGTGCACACTTCATGTAAGTCATCGCGGTCATGCCCTTGTAGTTGTTCAATGACTTGGAGAACCGTGAAGAAGCAGAGATGGTACGTCGATTCCATCGACGTGTGATCACACATGACTTACGGTTGCGCGTTAGTTTGAATTGTCGTCGTTCCTTCGCGCTCTACATGATCACATGCCAAGCACGGACGTGGACTATGGCGACCTTGGTCCACCCCCTCCGACCGACTCGTTGCGGATGCAGCACCAAGTTTCTTGGCATGCCGCTGCGACTATCGACATCACCGACATGTACGAAGGCATTCTTTTGAACGACCCATTGACCAAAGAAGTACGATCACTCTCGCGCGATGCCATTAACTCTGTGCTCATCGTGGACCAGGACGCGCACAACCTTGTCGAAAGCTTCAAGCGAGGGCAGAAACTCCATCGCAACTTTGCCATGCACATTCTCACGGCGGCCCTTCAGCTGTTCCAGCACAAACCCAACATCACAGAAGTCTCGATCACGCCGTCTCCCCACATTACGATCGTCGGGTACGGCGCTTCTTCATTGCAACCCCCTCTCTGCAACTCCACAGGGACTTGCACGGCCAACTCGACGACCTGCTCCTCATTTTCCGCGAGAATGGGATGCCAGGGCCGGAAAATCCGTACATTTTCAACGGCGACATCGTCGACCGCGGCACACGCAGCATCGAGTGCGCACTCATCATCTTTACGTTCGCTGTCGTGTTCCCGGACTTTGTCCACATCAACCGCGGCAACCACGAGGATAAGTCCGTCGTCCCGACCGCCGCCGCCGCCATTTCTAACCACTCGATGTATGCAGGTCCATCACTGAAGTATTTGGGTTCATGAAGGTACACACGAATGGAGATGTCCTGCTGCGATTCCTTGCATCGGCGTCTGCCGTAGGAATGCCTCCTCAAGTACGACTCGGAGGTGTACGCGATGTTTTGCGTCGTGTTTAAGTGGCTTCCGGTACGTCCATCCAGGGGAACTTGGGGATCCATTACGCGTGGTGGTTAGATTGGCACGATCCTCGACAAGCGCATCTTGATTCTGCATGGAGGCATCCCTCGGGACGCAACGACCAAGCTGCACGACCTCTCGGACATCCCGCGACACTTGTATGACCTGTCCATGTACCGGACCAAGGGCGACACGAAGGAAAGCCGCAAGCTGCACAAGACGATGCGCATTGTCAAGGACATTCTGTGGAGTGACCCGCACACGGTCAACGGATGGAAAGAAAACCCCCGCGGCGCAGGTAATCTCAACCGACGCCGTCATCCACACGCGAGGATTGATGTCGTTGCCAGGAATCAACTACGGCCAGGATCACGTGTACAAGTACATGGTGAAGAATCGCCTTGAACTGATCATCCGATCCCACGAGTGCGTGCCAAAGGGGTTCGACTGGCCGTTTGGAGCCAAAGGTGCCGATGCTTCCACGTCTCTGTGTTGGTTCAATGACGTCGATCGACTGAGTTGGCGTCGTGGAAAGCCCTTTGTTAATCGAGTGGACGGTGGACTGTGTGTAGGCATGCTCGTGACGCTGTTTTCAGCGTCCAACTACTGCGGCGTCGCCAACAACATGGGATGCTTCATGCGGATTCCTCGGACCGGCAAACCATCGTTCTTCCAGTACATGGCGACAACGTCGGAGAGTGATTTGGTGGCCACCAACTTGGAAGGTACGACCTGTTGTGGTCGCTGTGTCTGCTGCGAGACTGTTGGCGGCACATGGAGGATGGATTGTCATCGCGATGGGGCATTACCGCGCACTCGGTGTAGGTCTGTTTGACATTATCGTGACACACCGCGAGGACCTCCTTCGCCAATTTCAAGCGGTCGATTCGTCCAGCACGCAATGCGTGTCGACGGCACAATGGGATGCCGTCATGCAGCAAACGCTCCAGATGCACCTCAACTGGGCCAGCATTCGACCACTTCTTACGTCGACGGAAGCCAACCAGACGATCAACTACGTCAACTTCCTCAACCGGTACCAAGCTCGTGGCACGTGTGGTGCCGACGATGCGGCGGCAACGCCGGAAGGACCTGTGGCACCCGACGTGGTACGCTGTCGTCGCCAGCGACTGCTCACGCCATTCAAACGTAGGCCGACCGCCGTGACATGTTCAACAACATGTATCGATATCGCAAGCGCCTCCAAGCGCTGTTTCAAGTGTTCGATCAAGATGGGAACGGGACGATCAACCTGGACGAGTTCAAGGCCGGCATCGACATCCTCAACAAGCACCTGCCGCCCGGGATGAAGCCGTTCACACACGCCGAGGACCTCATGAAATCGCTCGACTTGGCTCACGACAACGAGATCAACATCAACGAGTTCATGGAGTGCTTCCGCATCCACGCCAACCTGACGGTACTGCGGCGGCAACGTCCTCCACTTGCATCATCGTGACTGGCGTCTAGGTCCAAGCCAAGTGGCGCCGCGCACGCACCAAACTCCGCGCGCTGCAAGCCCTCGGGATGCTCAAGGTCATCGAAGCGCCGGCGATCGTGACCGCGTCCGACGTGCAATTGGATGTTGACGAGTCCGAAACGAAGCATCGCGATGATGATGACGACGACGACGAGGATCTGACGCATTCATGTTAACAAGGTGGGAGCACGGCGCGATCCCACGTCAAGAGTGCCTGGAGGGTGCTCACGAGCGCAGCCTGGGCGTCGCATGGCCGCGCGTGGATCTGCCATCCTTGGACGGAGATGTGGGCCACGGACGCATCGGCGCCGACCACCGGTTGGATTTCGAGTCTATGCCATCATCATGCCACTCAACAGACGAGCTAACAAATGCATGCACTCATGGAACGCTTCCAGCCTGGATACGTAGATGGGCATGCCACGTACTGAAGGCACTCGTTCATCCATGTCTCGCCGTCGCCGAGCGCTTGCTCTGTTACGGGTTGATCGATGGTTTGACTTGTGAGACGGTGGCGGCTCTGTGTGCATGCTGACTGCCGAGATCGAACAAGGCGATAGCGTACCTCAGTCGACTTGTGCCACACCACGAGGAGCGTCGTGTAGTGGACGCGGCGCAGTTGACGAGGCTGCCGACGGAATTGAAAGTCGCGTCGGACAATAACCGCGTGATTGTACAATGGCGATGGAGGCAGCGCCTGGAGAACGTCGAGTTTGCGAAGAAAGGGCAGGACGTGCTGGAGCCGACTCGCGTGCGTGAGCATGTGCCACGTCCGGTCGAGGAGGCCGTCGACGCTGCTGGCTGGAATCGACTTGGATGATTTCATGACAAGGCGCGTCGCTGCGACGTCGCGTCGATCGGTCCACCCGTCGATAAAGTTGTTGTAGGTTGTCGCAGTGGAGGGGACGTCGAACGCTGACATCTCGCGCAGCATCCGCGCTAGTTTGTCGTGGCATTGATCGACTGAGAGCGGTCGAAATGCAGCAAAGTCACACACGGTCATCGAGTGAATATTGTCCTGCCCGAACCATGGCGGTGAACATGCACGTGCGAACGAGAACAACGACTCACCAAGGTCCAAGTGTCGGCGGCGGCAGTGGAAGCCTGCACGGACGACGCGAATGCGCTGAGCTTGTCGATGGCGCGCTGCAACGTGTTGTTTTCAACTCGCAGTTGGTCGGCGAGCTGCAAGAGGTTCCTGTACTGGGATTGCTTGGCTAAAGTCGACGTGTCCGCGGTGTGGAGACTTGGGAAGGACGATTGCAGCGCATGGTACTGACGTTCTAGCGCGTACACAGTCTCAGCAAGGTCGACGAGCTCGCGCTTCTTCTTGTGTCGCGACCGACGCGAAATCAAGCGATGACGAAGACGCTTGACCACGTCCGAGTCGTTTTGACTCTGCTCCAACGCGAGTTCGAGGTTGTCTTCGCCATCACTGGAGTCTTCGTCCGATGCAAAGTCCTCTTGTGGTGGTCCACACTTCGCATGCGAGTCGACGTTGATGTTGGTTCACGCAAGCGCGGCCAGCGAGGTTGCCTACCTGTGGAGATATCGTCCGTCCTTCCGCGTCAGGCTGCTTTGTTGCCTCTCCTTTGGACGTAATGGCGTTGTCGATGTCGACCAAGATGTCGATGTCGTGGTCATCGGGCATCCAGTCTTCCATGCTGCTGCGGGGATGGGCGGCGCCGCTCGAAACGGTGGGGCAAATGCTTACTGTGTAACGGTTGTTCGTGGGGCAAACCCGAATTGGGACAAATGTAACGCGACGCCGACCGACTGACCGCCATCCCCGCCGTGGCAAGGCCAACGTCATGTGGTAGCGTCGAAAGCGGCGGCGCCTGGGCTCTTGTCGCTCCTGGCGTGGTCATGCCATGAGTTCCATATGTGTGTTGCCACCTCGATCCGAGCAACGTGCTCGGCACGAAACGTACCTTCGACCACGGCGAGGAAAAATGCACGACAAAGATGGCCGTCGATGGTGCGACGGCCTTTGCGTGCGTCTTCGACTCAAGTTGGCGCATCAGGTTGTAGTCGTTTGGCGCTAAGAATAGCAAGGGTTTCGTGTGTCGTTTCGATTTACTCGAGGAACGCCGGCAGCGGCACTGACGGCGGGATGGAAAAGGTGTCGCGGACGATTGCAGTGCGCCAACAGCAGCCGCCCAAGACGAACCACGCAACGTCGCCGAATAAGGTTGCAGCCAAGCTCAAGGCCGCCGCCAAACAGCCCGTCAAGACAAACAACAAATTTGAGCTCGCCGATGTATTTGCTACGTCTCGGCTGCGAGAGCTGCAGAAGAACACCAAGAGCAGCGCTTGCAAGGTCAAACCTGCCGTGAAACCAGCGGGCGACACTCTATCCAACCAGGGGGAGTCGAGCCCGACCAAACCTCGCTCGACAGGGGCATTCAAGGTGCGGCCGATCGAGAAGACCAAGTTCCGATACTTTTGTACGTCCCCACACTCCTTCGACGGATTCCCCTCACTCGTTGCGACGGGTGTCCAGACGACCGGGCGGACTTGCCGCTGCGCGTCAACTTTTCCGGCGCCGTTCGCAAAGTGCAATGGTACGTACGACTAGTCCATGTTGGCTACACGGGGCGGCTACATCAGCGTATGCTGTTGGACGGCCGCTGGTTAGCTTTGAGTGGCGCGGCACGTGCGTGGGGGGGGATTCATGGATCGTGCTAGGCAAGTGGACATCACGCAGATCGACTACACGCACTACTTGCCGCTGTTCTTCGAAGGCCTGCGGGAACTCGACGAGCCATACCGATTTCTTGCGCTCAACGGGACGATGGACATGCTGGAAAAGGGCGGCGACCGCCCCCTCGCTTGCATCCCGCACCTCGTGATCCCGATCAAACAGAACCTCATGACGCGGCACCCCACGATCCTGTGCATCCAGATGAAGGTCCTACAGAAACTCGTGCTTTCGTGTCCGTATGCTGGCGAAGCCCTCGTGCCATACTACCGCCAGATCCTGACAATTTTCAACTTGTTTGTGACCAAGCGAGGCACGTCGGTCGATGGCTGGCACCACGACTCATGCCGTCTCTCCTAGTCAACTGCGGCGACGCCATCGACTACGGCCAGCGGCGAGACGAGAACCTCGGTGACTTGATCATCGAGACGCTGTACATTTTAGAACGGCACGGCGGCGAAGACGCCTTCGTCAACATCAAGTACCGATGGTCCATCTCACATGGCGTCATGCGCTCCTGTGTAGGTATATGGTACCCACGTACGAAAGCTGCATGGCATAAGGTCGTCGCCGACACCCCGTGGGGACACACAAACTTGATTCAACAAATTCGCAATAAATACAAACGGCATAGCATCATGTGCATGGCGTACACTGCGTCGGCGGCCATCGACACAGCATCCCGAGGCCGCGCGTGGCATACATCTTTGCACACGCGTTGTTCGTGCTGTGCACACGCCGCAGGGCGTCGGATACGAGTCGGTGTTCTGTCCATGTGAGTGGCTGTCGGTGGAGGTGTAGCTTGTCGAGGCACGTGATGATGAGTTGGCACGCACGGGCACCGTCAGCTTTGCTGCATGCAAACGGCACCACCTTGAACAGAAGCTCCTTTATCGTGACGTCGTCTGTGTCAGTAGTTGCTGTGGAAATGGTTCGTGCTTGCCGCGCTGTGCGCGTTGGTGACGCGACGTCGCGTCGAGGACGGCCCGTTTGGCACCGTTTGTCGGGTGTCTGTTGATTGTTGGGTTGGACAGGAGGCGGTGGTGGCACGAGGACATGCTGGAGGACACACGTGCATGGGAATATGACGCGTTGCGACGTGTACGTGAGATGGAGGACTGTCATGGCCGTGGATCGAGACAAAGTGGTCGACCGCTCGGGTCTTCTCGACCATGGCGTTCGTCGGCGAGAATTCCGGAATGTCGGTCGACGATCTTGCATTCAACCACGTTTCCCATACAAATCTCAAGCTTCGAGAAATAATATTATTCAAAATCCAGCGCGATTTCGAAAGGGACACAAAGCACCGCGCGCGGCATCGCAGAGATCATGCACGGCCATCATGCGGCTTCTTTGGAGCAAGCGCTTGCCATGCCTCCGCCAACCTGCCTAGAAAACGTCACTCGTGCGGCCTTGTTCATCCCACGACGGGCGGCGTGGATGCATGCGACAGCACGTGTGCAACCCTCCAGTGGGTGATTGAAGTTGGTGGCGCACCTCAATCACGTCACAAGGTCGCCATGTGAACGTTATGCTGCGTGCATTCTGGAAGGCCCGATGGGGTGATATCACACATGAGAAGCCACCGACGCTCATTCTAGTTAAATAGCGATGCTCTCGTGCAGATCGACCACTAGGGCGGCGAGACGAGTGGACTGTCGGCCGCCGCGGGGTTGTCAAACGATACGTCGGACGCAGTTACAATCGGCGCGGCAGATACAACTTTGAGCATCCCCAATGCCGACATGATCTTGAGCTTGGACCGTGCGCGACGCCACTTGGCCTGCGACGTCAGGTTGGCGTGGATGCGAAAGCACTCCATGAACTCGTTGATGTTGATCGCGTTGTCGTGGGTCAAGTCGAGCGCGTTCATGAGCTCTTCAGGGTGCGTGAACGGCTTCATCCCGGGCGGCAGGTGCTTGTTGAGGATGTCGATGCCGGCCGTGAGTTCGTTGAGTGTGATTGTCCCGTTCCCATCTTGATCCAACACTTGGAACAGCGCTTGGAGCCGCTTGCGATACCGATACATGTTGTTGAACACGTCGCGCCGGTCGGCCTACGTTTGAATGGCGTGAGCAGTCGCTGGCGACGACAGCGTACCACGTCGGGTGCCACAGGTCCTTCCGGCGTTGCCGCCGCATCGTCGGCACCACACGTGCCACGAGCTTGGTACCGATTCAAAAACTCGACATAGTCGATCGTCTGGTTGGCTTCCGTCGACGTAAGAAGTGGTCGAATGCTGGCCCAGTTGAGGTGCATCTGGAGCGTTTGCTGCATGACGGCATCCCATTGTGCCGTCGACACGCATTGCGTGCTGGACGAATCGACCGCTTGAAATTGGCGAAGGAGGTCCTCGCGGTGTGTCACGATAATGTCAAACAGACCTACACCGAGTGCGCGGTAATGCCCCATCGCGATGACAATCCATCCTCCATGTGCCGCCAACAGTCTCGCAGCAGACACAGCGACCACAACAGGTCGAACCGTCCAGGTTGGTCGCTACCAAATCACTCTCCGACGTTGTCGCCATGTACTGGTAAAACGACGGCTTGGCATCACGGGAACTTGGGATGCGCATGAAACAGCCCAAGTTGTTGGCGACGCCGCAGTAGTTGGACGCAGAAAACAGCGTGACAAGCATCCCTACCGACAGAAACAAGCGATGGCATGAAAAGGTCGAGGTCGGAAGCTGCATGGTGGGGGAGAGCGGGTGGTGGCAGCGCCAAGGAGCGACCCAACGTCCCATGGCGCACGTCCGCTGCCACAGGAAGCAGCGGCGCTTGAGTCGACTCGAGCAGTCGATCAACGGTACCTTTGTCTCCAAATGGCCATGCAAACCCCTGAGGCACACATTCGTGGGAACGAATGATCCAGTCGAGGTTGTTGTGCGCCATGAACTTGTGGACATGGTGCGCGCCGTAGTAGATGCCTACAGACCGCCACGAGTCACACGTGTCGATCGACACAAATGCAAATGTCGGACCGGCGCCACGGCGGTTCTCGACCCAGTCCGCGCCCGTCGTCATCGGATCGCTCCACAGAATGTCCTGGACGATTTGGTTTTGTTTGAACTGCGCTTTCTCGAGGGGCGGACTCGTGGATTTCGGACGCGTCTTGAAGCGGCACACGTCGTAGTCGGCGCGGGGAATCGCGTTCATTTCGTCGAGACGGAACGTGTGGTGGCGCGGGACCCCGCCATGCACGATCAGAATCCGCTTGTTCAACACGACCGCGAGCTACGATGACAGCAGCGTCAGGCGATCAAAGGTTCAAGGCCATGGCGCACGCCAGAGATCGGCCTCGCGCATGCATGCAGCACAAGCTAGTCCAAGCTGGAACGGGGCATGTCCACGCGATATTCCTCGAGAGCGCCGTCGACGACCCCCTCGCACTCACGAACATCCTCACCCATCGTACCGGCAGCCACGAAAACACATACCCAAACGTGTCGAACACGTCTGCATCGTACTTGGCCATGCATTCCTACAAGCGCGATAAACAACCAGGTCGCATGGCGCGCGACGCACCTTCATGAATCCCATGGACGCATTGATGAACTTGTCCTCGTGGTTGCCTCGATTCACGTGGACAGCCTCGGGGTAGACCAGCATGAACGCAAAGACGAGGAGGGCGCATTCGACGCCACGCGGGCCGCGATCGACCAAGTCGCCGTTGAACACGTACGGGTTCGTCGGGGACGGCAACCCGTTTGCGTCGAAGATCAGCAGCAAATCGTCCAATTGCCCGTGTATATCCCTAAGACAGAGCAACGTTCGACAGTCGAAGATATGTCCTCGAGACACACAGGACAACGCAGGCGATGGAGAATTCTGGCGCGATCGACGTACCCGACGACCGTGATGTGGGGGTGGGGCGCGATGTCAAGATAAGTGACATTTGGTTTGTCCTGCAGCATCGCGAGCGTCGAAAAGAGAATCTGCATCGCGTAGTCGCGATGAAGGGGTTGGTGGCGCTTGAACCCATCGACGAGGTCGATGGCGTTCTACGCAGCGGTCCCGGTCGGAGGAAGGGATCGCGGCATGCACGAACCTGTGGCGTCAATGGGTTGTCCAACCGAATACCCTTGTACATGTCGGAGATATCGATTTGGGCTCGAGACATCGCCATGCTCAACTGATTGCTCGACAAACTGTTGTCGTCTCGGCTGGGCATGTACTCGTGGAGGGCGTGGAGGAACGACGTGAGTTCGAGCAAGTCGGATTCTTCGCGCGTCTCCAAGTCATTGAACAACTACAGTCATCACCGCCATGACGATCCCTTGCCGTGGATGCAACGGCATGAACGGAATGTTGGAACGAACCTTCCACTGCGTCAACGAGAACCGATCGTCTGTCGACCCCGTCGACGTCGATGCAGGAGATGCAGGTTCAGACCCTCCGCATCCAGGAGAGGAAGGAGGTGGCGTTGGCACCTCAGCGCAGTCTCCATGGAAGCTCTTCTCCTTCACGGCACGGCTCGGCGAGTTGCCCATGTCGACTGCAATGGCGAGAGACGTCGCTTTCAACTTTGGTATACAAAATCCAAGACATTCCGTTACAGCCCACGTCACAACACGAACTGTCAAACATCCACTTAATTAAGGGAAATCCACGTCGTCCTCGCTCGTGACAGTCAACTGGACGGTCGTAAAAGCGTCTGCCCTTGACCTACAATTCTTCGACAAGCCTTCAATTCGAGTCCATGTCACCTTTGTGGCACTTCCTTCGTTTTGGAACCAGGCTCGAGAGAATGGCAGAGAAACGTTGAGTTGTCTACACTACGGGTGAAGTTTCGCCTGCCGTGGTGGACTGGACGGGGGGCCTGTTCGCGGATAATGTATGGGTTTTAGTATACTGTGGGCGTAACCATTAACAAGGGTGATGGCAGTAGCATCTCCCATTTTCCTTATAAAGTGACTAGAACTGTGGTTGTGGCACCCATGCATTCGACAGGCACCTATGGAGTCACGAGAGCCCCACAGCAAGCTTGCGATACTTGGCGAGGATTTCACCGACGCTGGCGTCGGTGGGGGTGTTCAAGATGCTCTCCTTCTTCAGCTTGGGAGCCATGTATTGCCTTGTGTCAAAGCCCTTTTCCTGTGCACGCAGCCGTGACTTCACTGAATGAATCGCGCACGTCGTACCAGAGCCGCAATCGCGTCGTTGCCGGCCTCATTCAAACAGCTTCTGCCTTGGCCTGGCGACTGCATTCGATTCGCATTCGGTGACTCGTCCGACTCGGTCTTGGAGCGAGCAACCACTGACTGATGCAATAGCCCCTTCAAGCTCTCGGCACTCATCCCAATCGCAATTCCTGTTGACGACGCCACAAACGCATGATCCAGCAAGTCAACGGCCACACGTACCTCCTGTTTGACGAAGCGGTTTCTTCTTCGCAAACGCGGCCGACGCGTTGAGCTCTGACGTGACGGGATTGAAGTGCCGCGACGCCGACTTGGCACAACAACCGCATGACCAAGCAACACGAGCGAGATATTCGTACCGTGGGGCGATGGCCGAACGTTATTGGCTTCTTAACTGCCTCGTGTTGTGTTGGTGGCCTGCATCAAGCTCGGCGCATGAGCACGTTATCGGTGAACGCTTGGCGTACGAAGATCGGCGGGTTGACGCCGCGTATGGCTTGGCGATTGAAATGGACGCATGGTACGCTGGAAAGCTCACCGCCACATGTGACGAGTTGGCGTCGTGAAAGACGTGCGGCTGTCGCTGTGGCGGAACTCGAATCTGCCAAACCGACCGACGTCAAACCATGGGATCAAGTGCACAGGCAGCAGTCCGTACGTCAGTGTGGTTGTGTGGATTTTGAGCCGTCCGAGGGGTAGTAAAGGGAGTTCGTTTAGCGTTTAATTGAGGGTTCTACAAGTGACAACGGCGCCATGATCATGTGCTCCATACACGCGTGGCGGCCATACTACCTTGTTGAACGCAGCGAGGGCTATATCGTCTTGGAGCTGTCTGTCGGTGCAAAACGGGTTGTCGTCGTCGATCTTGGGTACTCGCGTGCGCTTCTTCGACAGCGTTGACAGAGCTAGTTCGTTCTTTCGCATGGCTTTGAGTTCGCGAAGCATCTTCCGCTCCCTCGCGACTTCGTCCGCCGTTAGCGGCGGCGGTCGCGGCATCTTGCCGAGTGTCGTTTCGTTGTCCAATCACTGAGATGGAGGACGGACTACATAGCAGCAAATCGTATCGAACTCTATTTATATTAAAATCGTAAGTGTTTAATTCAATGAAGTAGCATTAAATTGTGCTGAATTAAAAATGTCACACTGCGACCGTGTCGATTCTCGTCGTCGTGCACATCCCTCCCCACCAGATCCAAATGGACCAATCACATCGCCCACAATACATTTTTAGCCAGGTCTTGACGAGGTTGTCAACTTCGCCAGCAGCGGCGGCTGCGATGGAGTCCGACACGAAGGATCCGCGGCATGCAAAGACAGTTCGACGGCCAACGAGAGCACCTCAAGAGAACATAGCGTGTGCAGTCACCCCACCGAGCACTCCACCGTCGCCAGGATCATCGTGGGTCGGCCCCACCACGCCAGTTGTCCCTCCAGTACGTTGTTCTCCTCATTTTGAACTAATCTACGGCATCACAACTCATCGGATAGAACATTGTGGACCGCTCGGTGCAAACCAGAAGTCAGTTCCGCGTGACAATTGCAGCTGATGCACAGGGTTCACCCATTTCTGAGGTAGGCAGGGACTGGTCTCCACATCTGCACACACTGGCCATGAACGCGGAGCAGGTGCGAAGCAGTGGCTGGTCGAGCCCTCGCGCGCTGCCATATCGGCCACTCGGCAAACCCGACTTGAACATGAAACTCTCTCCAAATCTTCGTTCCGCCAACGTGCGCAACGAAAGCCAAACCAAAGGAGGAGGATCTCCCAAGAGCAACGAACTCCGACTGGACGAGCCGACAACATCGTATGTCCCGCATGTCCTGCGTCGTGCTCTCGAAACCTTCTCATGCACCATCGCTGCATGATTAGAAACGGCAAGGGAAAGGAACCGACGAGTCCGACGTCGGCCTTGTCCATGCCATCGGATGACACGGTCGCCAAAGCGGGACTAAAGCCGCACCTCCCTGCTTACTCACCGCCTGGCATCAAGCACCTGCAATGCCCGGTACGAGTCCAGGCCGATCCGTCCTACGCTTTGCTGCAGCAGGCCATCCGAGATTGCACGGTTCGCGTGTGCGCTGTCAAGTACGGCGGCTGCGCGTTCTCGCATGCGATGATTCCACAGTACGTATGGTCATTTGTCCATCCATTCAAGGGCATTCAACACGATCCTATGGCTACAGTGGGCCGTCAGACGTTGTCCGAGACCCGATGGCACCATCGCTGCCGTCGCCGGAGAAGCCTGTGTACCTCCCTTACACGACGAGAAAACCGCAGAGCTCTCCGCCCGTCGCGCCGCTCGCCACTCTCCACGACTTTATGGTCGAAGCGGAAATGAACGCGAAGCAAAAGAACGTGTCAACGAGCCCCAGCAACCGGTCCTTGCGAATGTCCTCGCAATGCAGCCCCTGCCACTTGCGCTCCCCGCCGCACTCGCCCCATCGCTTGCACAATCAGATTCGGCTCCCCCTCCATCCCGCGCCAGTGCTCCTGTCGTCGTCAGCAGATGCGGTCGACGCGGCTGCCTCCCTCTCGGACGCTCGCGTCGCCTACGTGGACTCGCTCAGCAAGTCACTCGACAGCGTGCTGGCCCCCATAACCTCGCATCACCCCCATCGCCTGAGCTCCTACACGCCGCTTCACCAGTCCATGGTGCCCGATTTACCTCTGTGCAACAGCAACAACTCGCCGCTATCTTTCGTACAGTCCTCATTGACCAGTCCCCCAACAGCATCCGCACCCCCTGCTCACACGTCTCCATGCCACGGCATTGAGCGGCTTCAGATCGTGATCGACGCCCGGGAAGAGGCCAAGCAAATTTTCTCGAGGGATTTGCTCGCGATCTTGCGGTCACTCGATCAAGGGCGATGGTCGTGTTTCTGCCTCAAGTACGCTGCCTTTCAACCCGACCGAGATCTGCACATGGCGCTCTTTCACATGAACGACGTGTCCGAATCCACGCGACGGCACAACATGGAAGCTGCCGCCGCGAACGCATCCACGTGGTTTACAGGTCTCCTGGCCATTGTCGCCAAGTTTACGAGCCCCGCCGCCAGTTCTTCTTCTACTTCGTCGTCGGCGGCGCCCCCGCCTGCATGCGCCTTTATCCTCCATACCATTCGTCAGGTACTGTGCGCTGCATGCCGTTCGAGGACCCCGGACGACGCTGACGATGCATTGTGCGTTCATGCTGGGAATGGCGCAGGTGGTCCAAAGTGGGCATGAGCTCCACCGAGCCGTCCTGTACAGCATTGTGCTATGTTTGGAAGATGCGGAACTCCAGCTCGAGTCTACGCAGGTACTAGCGTCGAGTTCGACGTCTGCCTGCTGAGGCCAAGTCCAAGCAATGACGAGTGATGTGTTGTAGGCGGTCCTGAAGTACTTGCGCGGTGTTGTCCAGGTGTCGCTGAGCGAGTGGGAAGCGTTCTTCTCCGGGGCCCATTTGCAACTACCGCGAGAAGTGCTCGACCACCGCGCCCACGTCGAGGTTGGTAGCTGATTCGTGATGTGTCTGACATGCGAGAATGGATGGTCAGCATGCCGCACGAAAACGCAGCAAAATCAACTTTTCCAAACTCAAACAAGTCATTCGGACCAAGGGAATGATGGAGGCGCTGGTGAAGCCCCGCATGCACTTAATCCACCGCCAGAGTCTCGCACCCGTCGCAGGAGTCGTCCCACCCCCCTCCGTTGGAGCTATCCCGCCGACCACCGTCCACCTCAAAACTAAACTATAAATCGATTGTTGTTCCAACGTTCGGTCGCGTGCCTCCATGCACAGCATGGCGACGATCTCGAAGCTGTCTGTGAGGGCCTCACCCGCTAGGTTACCGGCACTTCAAGAGATGCCTAACGATACGTCGACAGGTCCAACCGCGCTGGCGATCTTGCCCATGGGGATCCAAGGGCGAATGGGGTGTCCGCCGAAAACCACGGAGCGCTACCATCGTGGAGCACCTCGACAATGAATGGCCTGGACGCGACACGGCGGCGGTACACAACTTACGGCCACCACGACCGTCTCGACGTTGCGATTGTCTATCTCTCTATGTGCTAGAATTCGGGGTCCCACGAGCACGGGGTTACGTCCTTGAGCTCGTCGAGTATTCGTTCAAAGTTGGACGAGTCCATGTTGTTCTTGAGCTGGGGCACGATCGGCGGCGTCAATCTGTGCTTGAGGAGGCCGTCCCAGTCATAGCCCGAGAACCACCGGTGGTTGATGATGTCGCCGACGCCGTGCTTTAGGTTGCCGAGCCGCCGCACGGGGTTTTGAGTCAACAGTTTCTGCACCAAGTCTATGCACGTCCGACTACCACAGCAACTCGTCGCGCGCTGTCGATCCATCGAGGGAGGTACCTGAAGTGGACAGGGAACTTGATGTTGCCCGTCAGGACGAGCGAATACACTTGCATCGGGTCATCCGCAAAGAACGGCACAGTGCCAGCAATCAGTTCGTAGATGAGGACGCCGAGGGCCCAGTAGTCGACCGCTTTGTCATGCCCCTACGAGACAACGCCGCGTGAGCCAAACGCGGCCAACGTGCGACTCGCCACGCACTCGATTCAGGATGATCTCGGGGGCCAAGTAATCCGGGGTGCCGCACAATGTCCACGTCCGTTCGGGAACGACTTTGGCGAGCCCTAAATCCACGACCTAGCGTACCATGAGCGATGCAAACGGTGTCGTCGGCCCCACCTTGAGGAATCCGTGGGCGTCAAGGATGAGGTTCATGTCGTCCAAGTCTCGATACGCAATCATTTTTTGATGCATGTGCTCAAAGGCGAGGACGACGGACGCGACGTAAAACCTCGCGGCGGCCTCTTCGAACCGCTCGCGGCGGCGGAGGAACGTAAAGAGCTCGCCGCCGAGGGCCAGCTCGAGGAGAAAATACACAAACATGTCGTCTTTGTACGTGTGGTGGAGCTTGAGGATGAACGGGTGGTCCAGCATCATCATGACCCTCTTTTCGTTCACGACGTGATCTTTGAGATTGTTTGCAACGATGTGCGACTTGACGAGGCATTTGAGAGCAAAGGTTTGGTCGGTCGGGGGATGTCGGACGAGCTTGACGCGACCGAATGCGCCGCTCCCAAGCGCGTGCATGATCTCGAGGTCCTCAAACGGGATGTCGAGCTTGTACTTGATGCTGTGCGTCTTGGAGCTGTCCGTGAGCGAGTTCTTCTTGGGGCTCGGCGGGGCGTCTGGGCGGTCCATCAATTCCTACACGTCGAATACCACGTGCGATGTCACGGCCAAGAGCGGCGACGACATGCCCATGAAGACGCCACGATCCAAACACGGGCCACAACCCACCTGCAGCGACCCGAGCATGGCGCTGAAATGCTCGCGCGACAGCACGAGCAGCTGAACGTCCGTCGTTGATGTACATGTAGCGCTTCTTGTTTCATCTTTGAACAGCGCGAGCTCGCCAAAGTGGTCGCCGCTCGACATGACGCGAACAAATTCGTCCGTCGCAGTGACCGGGTTGACTTTGGTCACTTGGACCTCGCCCGACGTGATCACGTAAAAGTGTTCACCCATCTCGCCTTCGCGAAAGAGGACTGTGTTGGACTCGTACTCTTCCCACTGCATCGCGGCCGCGACACGGATGACCTCGGCCGAGCTGAGCTTCTTCAGCACTTCAACTTGCCGGAGGAACTCGACCGCTTTCGCGTGCCGCATCGCTTCGTGCGTGGTGCAAATTTCTACGCACAGCCACGCGCCGATCAGTCCATCCACTCCATTCCTTGCTCCTTGTCAACGTCATCGGAAGTACCACCGACCTCGAAAGTCGTTGCGATCGAGAGCCCATAGCACCACGGACGATTTGGATTTGATTGTGGCCGCGCGCGGCGTGTTGCAAAGCAACGCCAGTTCGCCGAACCCCATCCCCGACGTGAGTGCGCCGTACTTGATGGGCGGATTTGACTTGACAGACACGAGGATGTCGAGTGTGCCGCTCTGGACAACGTAGAAGTGCTCGCCCTGGTCGCCTTGTGTGATGATCTCGACGCCGGCCTCGTGCTCGCGGCACTGGAACGCGTCGACGCAGTCAGTTTGTTCCCCTTGGGACAGGCCTTGAAACAAGATGTTGTTTTGGATCGCCTAGCACATGGGGAGTGAGTGGACATGGCTGCGATGCGGCAGGGGCGGCGTACTTTCAGAATGAGCTCTTTCGACCCGTCCGACTTGGGGTACACGACCTTCTTGTACTTGGTCGGCGCCTTGTGCATCACCTCCGCCGACACTTCGACACGGCGCTTCTTGGCAGGATCCACGGACTTGCGCTCGTGAGCTTTCGACGCAAACGACGACGCCGACGGCTGCTGCGACACGATCAGTGGATGCATCGGCCCGCCTTTCAATAGGCTCGGTCGCCCCACTTGGCTCGGACGGGTCGATTTTGAAATCTCATGGGACTTGGTCAAGTCCTGGGACGCCTTGGCTGCCAAAGCTTCCGCGGACGCTTTGGATGCCTCCAGCGATTTGGCGAGTGCCTGCAATCGCTGGATCTCGGCCTCCTTCTCCTCGAGCGCCTGCCGTAGACTGGCCACTTCCTGCGTGGACGCGCCTGCGCCCATCGGTCAGCGACGGCTCGTGTGGGGAATGCAGAGTGGTTTCCGCCACTGCGTTATTTTGGTACATCGGTTACGCTTGACTGCCAAAGTGCATTGCGTCCGCCCCGTTTCGTCCATATTTTCCGAATGTTGTATATGTATATCATACAAAATCCAAGTTCCATGGAGTTTAAAACGACTAGTACACGAAAAAACATGAATTCGGTGGTTTAAAGCCGAGTTGCGGAATGCATGTATCACACGCGTGCAAGTATTAATAGTAGATTTGATTCTCCCCAGAATGCTTGCATACACAATCCAAGTAAAATGGAATTCAAACGGAAAGATAGTACGCAATTTAAGAAAAAGATGTCACATTGGACTGAAAAGACTCGGTTGAAGCAAAGGATTTAATTGCGGAATGCATGTACGTTTCTGTTGCGGAAAAGTAGCGGTCGGGCTTCCGGTTGATGTTGGAGATTATCCGGATGTTCCTCTCTCGACTTTACACAGTAGGACCACGATGACTCCAGGAGGCTGGTGGTCACTTCACGCAAGGCCATGGGCAACTCGCAGGGCAAGACCACGCAGCCAGCAGGAAAGGACAAGCCCGCGACGCCATTCAAGGCCAAGCCTCTTGTGGCAGCAGCTCTTCCTACCGCTGCACCAGCAGATCCAATTGTTGCACCCGCGCCGGTCGACGACATGGGCACGCAATGGAAGGTTCACGTCACCAGTGGGGTGCTTCCGCAAAGGTTGATGTTGTGTGTAGCTGTTTAACGATTTGGAGAACCGAGAAGAAGCTGCAGCGTTCGGTCTCCAGCGCTTCTTACAAGCCCTGCATGATCACATGCCAGCGACAGCGTCGGACAAGAACGATCGCAGCTTGGACGACTTCTTGTCCGATGCCACGACCAAGATCAACATCACAGACATGTACAAAGGTGTGCATTTTGACGAGACGCTGACCCTCCAAGTACGCCTCCATCTTTTTTTTTCCAGACTCGGTTGACATGCACCAGAATGTGATCGACTTGATCGACAGCTACAAGCGCCATGCCAAGCTCCACAAGGAGTACGTGATGCAAGTGCTCCGCCAGGCCGCGTCGCTGTTCCAGTCACTCCCGAACCTGCACATGATCAACGTCGCACCCGCCAAGCACATCACCATCGTCGGGTAGAATTCCGCCATGTCTCCGTCCCCGTGACGAATGTGACAGGGATCTGCATGGCCAACTCGACGACCTGCTCTTGATCCTGCGAGAGAACGGCCTTCCATCGCCCGACAACCCGTACGTGTTTAACGGCGACTTTGTTGACCGAGGCAAGTCGTCGATCGAAGTGTGCGTCGTCCTCTTTTGCTTTGCTGTGTTGTACCCGCACTCGGTGTTTTTAAACCGTGGCAACCATGAAGACCGCGCCGTCACGCAAAAGTTTGGCTTCTACAAGGTACAGAGTTGGTTTGACGATGCGTGCCACACCTTTCGCCCTGCGCGAAGCGACCGACTCGTCATGACGTGCCTTCCCTCGGCTCTTCTTGACCCTGCCACCGTCCTTTGAACGCGCTCTATGCGCTGCTGTAGGAATGCATTGAAAAGTACGATGAAGAAGTATTCAGCTTGTTTTGCCACTGCTTTCGGTACCTGCCCGTACGTCTATGCCCAACTCAACTGCGACTTGCATGAACGGGGGCGTCAACTTTAGCTTGGCACGATTCTCCAAGATCGCCGCGTCCTGATCTGGCACGGCGGCGTGCCCCGCCAAGCCGTCAAGCTGCAGGACGTGATGGACATTCCCCGCTACGAGTACGATGGCCTTCGCCACACGAACAAGTACATGAAAGCAGCATCGCGCTTGACCAAATTTGAAAAGAACATGCAAATTGTGAGCGACATCCTGTGGAGCGACCCGCGCGCCCAGCACGGCTTTGACGAAAGCCCCCGCGGCGCCGGCATCGACTACGGACCGGACATTGCGATGCGGTTCATGCAAGCAAACCGCCTCGCGCTGATCGTGCGGTCCCACGAGTGCACGCCGCTGGGGTACACGTACCCGTACGGCGAGAAAGGTGTGTGCGCCACATATTGTTGCTCTCGGACTGACGTGGTCTAGCTGGCATGCTCGTGACGGTGTTTTCCGCCAGCAATTACTCGAAAGCAAGCAACATGGGAGCGATCATGCACATCCCGAGCGATGACAACACCGCGCCGTCGTTTGCGCAATACCGCGCATCCGCTTCCGACCACGACTTTATCGGCGCCAACCTCGACGGGTTGTACAGCGTCATTTTGGACTCACGGGATGCGCTCCTCGCGGCCTTTCGCGCGGTCGACGTTCACGGACGCGGCGCCGTGTCGTCCGTCGAGTGGCAAAACATCATGGAAGCCACGCTGCACATGGCGCTGGACTGGGCGACGCTCCAGCCGCTTGTGACGTCGGTTGAGAAGGATGGAAGTGTGGCATATGTGCCGTTCTTGGACCGCTACCAGTCGCAAGCTGCGGTCAATAGAGGTACGACGACTGTCCAGGGTTGTCATCTTTGGAGGGGTCGAGATGGAATGCTCGCGTACGAGGATGGTAATGTAGATGGCGTCGTGTTCTGTAGGCGAAAAAGCCGCGATGAACAAGTTGTACCGCCATCGCGAGCGGCTGGAAATGCTCTTCCACACGATCGACAAAGACAGGAACGGTGTGATTACGATGGAGGAGTTCCAAGATGCCCTCGACGTCCTCAACAAGCACTTGCCCAAGGACATGCTGCCGTTCGAGCACCCCGACCAGCTCATGTCGGTGCTCGACTTCACCAAGGACAACGCGATCAACATCAACGAGTTCCTCGAGAGCTTCCGACTTCATGCGAACCTGACGGTAGGCCACGATGATGAAACGACGAGGGAATCGCTGATCTACTCGTGGCTGGGTAGACGGCGGCCAAGTGGCGCCGCGCCAAAAACAAACTCAAAGCAATGCACCACCTCGGCATGCTCAAGACAGTCGATGCCCCCGCCGCGTTGTTGCTGCACGTGCCAGAAGACGCCGTCGTTTCATCGCCCAGAGTGGCCGCCGCCTAAACGCCGCTGCGTGCGAGACCGTGGCCGGCACAACTCTCGGAGTCTCTCGTCTACAGAGCGCTTTGATATTTGAACTTCTGCATGTCTCTTCTATTGTGTGGCTGCGTAGCCGTCGAGAATCTGGTCAAGTTCAACGTCGATGAGGTGACTCAGCCATCGGAAAAAATGCTTCTCTTCCCGTGCTGGGAGCGCCTTCAACACCAAATCTCGAGTCGTCGCGTGTGGGTGATGGGGAGACTGCGGGAACGACGAGGAAGTCGAGTGAAACAGTTCCTTGGCGTCAGCGTGAAAGCCCTGGTTGAGTTGCTCCCACGTGGGAAGGCACGGCGCGGGGTCCAAGTTGCGCGGACTTGTGAACGCAGGGCTCATCGGCGTGGCGCCTTGGTACGATTTCCCCCGTGGGTTGTCGAATGGGTCGAGAGAGGCCCAGAACCCAACTGGCGACGTGAGACTGAGTAGGTGCTGGTCGTTGTCGGAGGGTGTGTTTGCCGCCGTCGTGGTGTTGATGCGCAGCGACGCAAAGGATGCGGGCAGCGTATGTCTGTACATGGCGTGAGTTGCACAGGAGGCAGCGGGGTGTTGCACCGACCCAGCGGCAGGCTCCGTAGTCGCCACCTTGACACTCGACGGCATCGGAGGCTGTACGTGCAAGTCAAACGCATGATGCATCGCTTGGGTGCACAGGTGTTCCAGCGTCGACGGTGCATCCAAGTCCTCCCGGCACATGATCCTTGCCAGATCATGCAGGAGCACACGTTTCCGCACGCCTTTTTCCACCAACAGCCCTGCAATTCGGAGGTTCCTAGCCCAGACACTGAGCCATCATGGCATCGATACACGTCGTACCGTCGGCACGCCGGGCGCAGCGGGATATGTGTTAGCACGTTTTGAATTTCGTGTTCGACGTTCAGATTGAGGATGTACTGGCGGTCCTCGTCGCTCAGGGGTACCTGCCGCGGCACACAATATCGTCGACACTCGATCGACCGACGACAGGTCCGTACCTTGAGCTGTGGCCAATTGTACCAGCACCAGTCGCACCACGCAATCTACGCAACTGCGCGTTAGGGGCCAAGCTAGTCGTTGGAGCGACAGGACCTCGATCGTGTCGGGGATGGAATACCCATGATCGATTGGAATCAAGTCGTGCTCAGCCCTTCCGTCAGGTGTCCGACGGCGCCGGACGAGCAGATTCGCATCGTTTCGGTCGGTGTTGACTACCCTACGCACGTCGACGACCGACGACTTGCTCGACGATGCCACAACGAAAACGGCCTACCGCATGTCCAAGAGCACGATCTTGTGTACTTGATGCGGCGTAAACAAGCTCGGAGACAAGTCACTGGCAACGTCGTCATGGCGTACAAACTCCTACCCGCCATCCATTGTATTTTTTCATCGCTCTCGTTCGCGTGCCACCACCGATCGGCCTACCTGCAAACTGCCCATTTTGTACAACACCGCGCCGCCGTCGTTGTACTTGAACGCTGTGCCACGAACCAGTCAGGGGGGATGACAGTGGATGGCGCACCAGGGTGTTTGATCTCGGCCAGCGTCGTCGCTGGAACGCTCGCAAAGTGATCCTACTCCACCCCGCTGTGTGTTAGGCGAAATTGGTCGAAAAGGAACGAGACATGGCTTCACCTTGTCCATGAGAAATGCAGCCACTTCCCGCTCGCACGCTTCCCCAGACAACACGCCTTTTCGAAAGCCAGCTTCGCCCAACGGACCAACAAAGCCACGTGGGTTGCACGGGCCAAATGGCTCTTCGTTCTGAGGCTTGAAGCAGCACACTTTACGCTGCGTCGGATCCTTTAGAAAATATGTGCCTCCCGTGCCGTCCATTGCGAGCTCGGGAGTAAACCCCAGGGCTAGACCTAGATTCAAATCAGCGGTTTGGCCCGCGCGTACGAGAGCAGAATGTCTCGAGCCACCAAATGCACAGCAAACAATAGGCTCGTTGCGGAGGTCAAAGGAAATCAACCATCGCTGGCATCGTTTGTGCCACTGGCCATAAAGCAAGCCCGTGACCCAAGCATGCACCACGAGTGGTCTTGCATCCGCGCCACGGTTCGCAGGACCTGGTCGACAAAATGCTCGCGTTACCTTGCATGGCCAGGTGGGCAGCCTTCATGATAGACTTGGGAAACACGTGATTGCCGTAAGGATGGATTGTAAAGAGGTTTGTGCGGTTTTTGCGACCATTGGCAGACAGCACGAGGTCGACAACGACCTTGTCGGCGTAAAGCCCGCATTGCACCATGTTGCGCGCATTGGCAAGCTCGGTGCCTTTGTAATACAGCTGCTGGGCTGCTGTGGGGATGCCAAACATGGCTTGTAGTTGATCTTTCATGTCTTTCACACATGCCCACGGCTTCATCACGAGCTTGATCTGCAGGCAATCGAGTCAATTGGGGAATTCCTTGAGTGGAAAGCACCTACCTTGCGTTCGCGGGGGTCGTTCATGCGATGCATCTGCACGAATACACTGACGCTACCGAGATCACCACTGTCGAAGCCTCCCGGATCCGAGTGCCTACGCTCCCATGGCACGCGTCAGATGTCGATCGCGCGATCGGTCAACAACGTACCATGCATCGTTTGCCAGCGCCTTCACTTGACCCACACGCATGAGGCAAGGGTTCCAAGGTATGACGGAAGACTAGGCTGTGGCGTCGGCGCTGTTGTTGTTGCTCGGACTCACGTTGACGCACACCACCACACACACAAAGGGTAAGAATTCGTCCACGTTAGCTCGAGGCGTTTTCCTGTGGATCGGCAATGGTGGTACCCCAAAAACGGTGCTGAGGGTGGGGGGAGTCCCCCTGAATATGTTGAATGTCGGTCGTTGGAAATGATGGTCTGTGACGGTGACAAGGGAAGGTCGATGATGCAAGCGGATCCCAAAGAAGCGCAGGCTATTCTGCGACGACTCGGCGAATGAAAACGTTTGGGACATACGCAGTGACGACGGCATCATTGCCTTTGATAGTCGGAAGGATTCAATGCCTACCGTGAACCAGCCTGCGCGGGCTGCTGTCAGCACTCCCCTCGGCGCATCTGCATGCCTTCGAGACTCATGACAATGACAGCTTGTTGAGTTTGCCGTTCACATAGGGGATCAGAACCTATCTACCGAATGGAAAGCGGACGCGCCACTCTTGTTTGCACTAATCTGTCTCGGTGACGGGAGGTGCTCTCGACTTTGTCGCCTCTTCGCTGCTTCTCGTGGAACCCATGGCGGCCATGTCCACAAGTTTAGGGAATCAGTCATCAGCCGCGCGCGACCCATGCCCCAGGGACTGCCTGTACAAACAATGCTAAGTGAGTGCTGCATCGTAGCTGCGTGGACGACAAACGTCGGCCAGCATGTAGGCTATGTCCTGGTTTGCGATGAATCGATCCTTCCAGTTTTACGACGACGGCAGCAACTACAGCAGGCGTAGCGTTATCAAGAGTTTTGTCGGGCTGCATCTGGTCATAGGCGTTGGACGCTCGTGGAGATGCGCGGCACCCATCCACTACAAGCTAACACCAGAGCCAGTAGTGTCGATTACGCATGTCTGCCTAACTCAACTTGCCCATTTGGGCCTTCTTCTGGATCGAGTTAAGCGCGAGGAACACACCAGCGTCCACGAGTTTCAGAATCGTAAACGCGCCGCCCACGATGGCGAAGAACGACGTGAGGAACCGAAAGAACGGGATGCGCTCGGGACGCAGCTGGATCGCCAACGGCGACACATCGTACGTGAGGATGGCGGCCGGGACGTCTTCCGACGCGTTGTACTGGTTGGACGTGACCGAGAACTCGTACTCTCGCGAGCGCAAGTCGAGTAGAAAGTTCGAGTCGTCGATGCGGTCGACGCCGACAATCTAGTCGCCACCATGACGCGGTCAGTCATAACTTCACACGCCTTCGTTCATGAAGAACTTGCCTTGAGATAATGCTCGATCGTGATGTTGACGTTCTCGGCGGAAAACGTGCGGTTGTCCAAAGGGAACTGCGTCGCAATCACGCCGCGGCCCGATGGCTTCGCGAGGCGCTGCTCGGCAGTCTTGAACTGACCAAACGAAAAGTGGTGCACCTAGGTGCAGCCCATCCGTCAGGACGCAGAGAGATGACACGAAGGTCCGTACATGATGGGATACGTTGATGTGGGACAAGTCAAACGAGGTGTCCGGAGCTGCGGCTTTGAAGGAGAGTCGCCCAGGCACACGCTGCACCGACAACGCGCCAGACACTTCGCAGCCTTCGTGCGCATCGTCTTCCGAGTCGGTGGTCGCCAGCAGCCCGAGCTGCGCGCCAAACTCCGGGAGCACCTCTTCCGCCAAGTCGCCGTCCGGGTTCAACCGGCGGTAAAACAGGTCCAGAAACAGCAAGAGCGACTCGGGGTTGCGCGGGCCGTTGTAAATGTATCGCGTGAAGGTCCGCCCAAACATGTATATCTGCCCATGCACGCACACCCGGTCAGAAGCGATCGACTTTATTTGGAGATATCGACGGTACCATCATGGACGGGAATGCCATGATTCGCGCGCGGCGGCATAGCTATTGCCGAGCTGCATGAGTAAGCGCTATTCTCGTTTTATTTGGCCTCGTGACACCAGGTTGCGTCACGCCTGCAGTTCCAGCCACGAACTGAATAAGCGCATTGCATAGCAAGCTATCGGTGCTATGAAAAGCATCGAGCTGAGGGTAGACGAGGTCGTCCCACGGAAAACCTTCTCGTCATTGCGTTCCATAGTCACAGGCTGTCATGTAACCCATCAGCCAGGAACTTGCTGTCGCCATGGGGTTTTCAAGGACGCCTCTGACGCAGGGTGTGGCATTGGCGGCGTCGCGTACGCCTCTGCCCTCTCTACTGGAAACTCCTCGCCGTCCAACTCATTCCCCACTGCATCCACACCAGCGCCACACGGCGCAGTTGAATCCCAAACGTACCCGGATGTACCTGACGAGTCGAACGTCGATCCAGCCGTGATGCTGCATTCTCGACATGTTTCGTCGATACGACGACGATGTAGTGACTCGATTAGAACTCAAATACAAAATATGACGTTAACTAATGGGCGGCAGCTTGTCGTGCAGCCAGCATTTCGGACAGCGCTTCGGCAATGCGAGCCCGCAGGGTAACCAAATCGAGCACAATTGCGTCGTTGGCGTGCCCAGCCAATTCGGCTGGGAGTGGGCCGTTGTGGTAAATCAAAT